CTTTCTTTCTTTCTTTCTTTTTTTGAGAGGCTGTACACTTGAGTTTCTATTTGTTCTCTCTTATTTTTGCATCATTTAAATGATGGGTCACTTCAGCTCTTTCAGTTTCAGCTCACATCCTCATGTCAATTAAATGGTTTGGTTATGAAGGGCACCTCAACACTGTCTGAGGGATGTTAGCATGCTTTTGTAAGATGCATAGGTCTATCCAAGTGCCTTTCCTTTTTGAGCCTTCGTTATTTTACTGAGAAACAAGCATTAGTAGTCTTCCTTTTCTTACAGATGCAAAAATAAATTTTTCCTTTATAAGCATCATTTTGTTTTCTGAGCACGTTTGAAGCCATTTTGGTGATGGACTACCAAGGATAATATCAAGGCTGTACTGACGATTGTGTGGTGGAGGTCTATAATAAGGTGTCGACTGAGGTTTTCCTCCCCCGTCATTTTGCCTCTTCATATCCTAGTTTCTTCTGTACTTTAAAAATGTGGCTAATAGAGGCTTTTTTTTAAGCTCTACAGACTTTATTTGGTTCACTATTTCTTTGTTCATACATTAGGAATGATACTTGTTGTTTTTGTTAGGTAAAATTCAAGATAATATTTTTATGACCTGTGTATTCATCAGCACAGACTGCCATCAGAAAGAACCATAGTCTGGTGGCTTCAACAACAGTTTAAACAACAACTTCTTACAGTTGAGGAGATCAGGGTGCTTCCGTTGTCAGGTTCTGATGAGAGCTCTCTTCCTGGCTAACAGATGGCCACCTTTTTGCTGTGTCCTCACAAGGCAGAGAGAGAGAGAGCACACTCTGGTGTCTCTCCCTTTCTTTTAAGGACACTAATCCTGTCATGGGGACTCTACCCTCATGGTCTCATCTAAATCTCATTACCTCCCAAAGACAGAATTGTCTCTAAATATCATCTCATTGAAGGTTTAGGCTTCAACATAGGAATTTGGGGAGGACACAATTCAATCCATAGCAATCCAGGACTGTGACTTCCAAACTGTGCTCTGTGGAGTCCCAGGGGTACCACCGTGTGTACAGAGAGATGGTAGGGAGAGAGCTGATGGAGCTCATAGTTCCCTCTGTTTAAACCAGAACAGTGTTCTATTTAATGTTATAAGGTATCATTTGAGGAGAGAATTTCATGGGTAGAAAATTGATCTAAGAATGTTTAATCGACTGCAGTGCTTTTTTTTCCCTTTCTCTCATTGCAGATCAGGGGTGCTCTTCTTCCTCACGACCAACCAGTGTTTCAGCAGTATCTCAGCTGTGGAGCTTTTTGTGGTTGAGAAGAAGCTCTTTATGTGAGTAGGTCTCTGTTCCAGGAAGGGGGCTGTCTGGTATCAGGGGATGTTGGTCAAACTGGTCATATCCTGTATTGGGCTGCAGGGTGGTTCCTAGGGATTGCCAATGTTGAGAAAAAGCATCCAGAGACTGAAAAGGCAGTCATGAACCTGTGGGACCTGATACCAGGGGAAAAAGGAGTTCAAGATTAGGGCAGAGCCAGCAAATCCAAATGCTGCAGATAAAGCCAGCAATAAAGGGGCTGAAAAGGAGCTTTTGTTTTTAGCAAATGATAAGTCTTAATGGCCTTTCACAAGAAAAGTTAGAGGGGCTTGGTAGAGAGAAAGTAGTGGATTGAGCCAGTAAATATAAGGTAAGGAGGTAAAGTTGACAAAGAATGTGAACCCAGCTTAGCCCTCAATGGGAGGGGGACTAGAAGAAGGCAAAGGGCAGCCTTAAAAGAAGGTATGGGCTGTTTTGTTTCTTGTGTTTTTTAAAGTTGGAAGAAATTTGCCCATATTTACATGCTAAGGAAAGGAATCCTTCCAGAGGGAAAGAATAAAGATGTTGGTGGAGGAGTTTGGAATTATAGGAGGAAGATGTCAGGAAGAGGAAGGGATCTAGAAGTAGAGAGGAAAGAAAACAGGATTTCATAGCTGACAGGGATGTATGGTTGGAGGATATGATCATTGAAGGAAGAAGTGCCATTTTCTTTTTTATCATGAGGTTGGAAGAAGTGATCCAAGACTGCATTAGGAAGTTCAGAGGATAGCAGTGTCACCTTCTTCATAATCAAAAGTGGGGAGAAAGTAAAACTGATACCACAGCTGAGCTCCAGTGCTGGGAGAGAGGGAAGAGACAGGTCTGCTCACTGGGAGCAGGTGCTCAGGGAGCAGAATGGGCGGCACTCGGAGGGAGTTCTATAATGAGAAGAAGGGTGCTGCACAGACCCGCATGGAGGTGACATCCCAGGAGAGGCCCCCACCTTAGATGGTGCCTGATGCTGACAAGGATGGAGGCTGGGTGTTCACCTCCAGCATGTGAGAAGCTGTAGTTGTTAGACCCCTGGTGGCAGCAGAAGTCTGTACAGTGAGCAATCTAATCTGTTCTCTGCCTTCCTAAACTAATGTAGGATGAGTTTTTCTTTTTCAGACATGAATATATCAGTGGATACTACAGAGTGTCATCTTATTTCTTTGGAAAACTGATATCTGATTTACTACCCATGAGGATATTACCAAGTATTATATTTACTTGTATAATATACTTCTTGTTAGGTAAGCAACATGACAAAAGGTATGTGTGTCTTTAGTCTTGGATATGAGGCCAATTTGTTTATACCAGCATGTTTTTGGTTCTCAAACTCTAAACCACGCCAGTGAGATAAGGAGACATCTATCCATTGTGCACACTCTCAATAACTTCTCTGAGGACATTTTTTCAAGACTTGTCCCAAACTAACTTTTAAAACTTTTTATAAAACTGTATTTTACTGTGAGATGCTATGTATCATTTACAAACATGGAAAGAAGTCACAAGATTATTTGACACTATGCTGGAGGAGCTGGAATATTTAGTACCATTTATATTTTTGTGTGTATGCATGTGTTTGTGTGTGGAGATAGTGAAAGATGTGACTTTTGAGGCTTCTTAGTTTAATACAAATATTTGTTTGATAGGTGTGGTTATTAGATTCATTTGAGCATTGTGTTTAGGCTTTACCCCAGGCTCACTGCATCAGAATTTCCATGTATTTTACTGATACACATAAACACATACACATCAGAAATATATATTTTAATTAAAAAAAAATATATATATATATAACTAAAGCACTAAGAAGATTCACTGATTGAATTAAACTTCCATTTTACAAATAAGAGGTGTGTCAAGTATTTAGGCATAGAACCTAGATCCTCAGGCTCCTTCCAAAATCTTCAGATTATATGACCCATAATATTAGTCCATTATGATTTGTAAAGTAGTCTTATGAAATTTATTTAGCCCCACCCTCAATCCCAGAGTTATATGGTGATTTGTCTTGGGAGACTTGGCTTTTGGAGACACTACCCCAGATAGTGAAACCACTGGAAGGTCACATAATCTTCATCTTCCCAGTTTCTTCACACATCGCAGTTATAGCCAGTAGTCATGTGGTGATGTCTGGGTAGAACGAATGTGCTCTTGACAAGTTTCCTTCTTAGAAGAAATGGCTGTAGAATTGTGACCACTTGTGTTGCCTACAGCTGTCCATCTCAGGCACTCAGAAATTGTTAATAATTACACATAAAGAAGCATAGATGTTACATAGAAATGTACTTATACAGTAAGTATAAAAAGAAAGTGTATGATAACTTTATACAGTAGGATGGGGTGGTCGGATAGAGGATGAATTTTCTTCATTCTGATATTTGTTTCTCAAAATATTATAGTGCCATTTGCACAAAGCAATCTCAAATACACTGTTATCTAGGTGGTTGGATTCAACCCCCTCTTTTCTTCCCAACCAAGGATTGAAACCAGTTGTGGAGGCTTTCTTCATCATGATGTTTACCCTTATGATGGTGGCTTATTCAGCCAGTTCTATGGCACTGGCCATAGCAGCAGGCCAGAGTGTGGTATCCATAGCAACACTTCTCATGACCATCTCCTTTGTGTTTATGATGGTGAGTAGAAACTGTGCTTCGCTAAGAATAAATTATTTCCCCTTATTCTTTCCTGAAAATTTACCTGTTACCTGAAACCAGCTTGGAGGATTCTGTAAATTAGATTCTCTGCTTTAAGGAGGCCATGTATTGAAGGATAGCTTATATTAGAGAATGTACAGCTTTTTCTTGACATTCCCTAGCCTTTTTGGCTACTGTTCTAATATTATTGCTATAAATTTAGTTAGCATTTTGTTGCAAATGAGTTTTTAAAAGATTCTTCTTGGTGACGTATAGTGAAACCTTGATAAACTGGAACTTCAAAAACCAAACTAGACTTTAAACAAAAGACTAAGATGCAGAAGGGCACTATATCATAATAAAGGGGACAATCCAACAAGAAGATCTAACAATTGTAGACATTTATGCCCCCAACATGAAAGTACCCAAAAATATATAACTATTAATGAGACATAAAGGAACCCATTGATAATAATACAATAATAGTAGGGGACTTTAACACCTCACTTACAGCAATGGACAGATCATCCAAGCAGAAAATCAACAAGGAAGCAATGGCTTTGAATGACACACTGGACCAGATAGACTTAACAGATATATTCAGAACATTCCATCTTAGAGCAGCAGAATGCACTTTCTTTTCAAGTGCCCATGGGCCATTCTCCAGAATAGATCACAAATGGGTCAACAAATAAAAAAGATTAAGATCATACCATGGATATTTTCATATCACAACCCTATGAAACTTGAAAGTCAGCTACAAAAAAAAATTTGGAAAGACCACAAATACATGGAAGTTAAATAACATGCTACTAAACAATGAATGGGTCAACCAATAAACCAAAGAACAAGTTAAAAAAAAATACATGGAAACAAATGAAAATGAAAACACAATGGTCCAAAACCTTTGGGATGAAGCAAAAGTAATTCTAAGAGGAAAGTATATTACCTCAAGAAGCAAGAAAAATCTCAAATAAACTACCTAACTTTATACTAAAGGAGCTAGAAGAACAACAAATGAAGCCTAAAGCCAGCAGAAGGAGAGAAATAATAAAGATTAGAGCAGAAATAAATGATACAGAAGCTAAAAAGAAAGAAAGAAAGAAAGAAAGAAAGAAAGAAAGAAAGAAAGAAAGAAAGAACCATACAGCAGATAAATGAAACCAGGGGCTGAATCTTTCAAAGAATAAAATTGATAAACATCTAGCCAGACTTATCAAAAAGAAAAGAGAAAGGGCCCAAATAAATAAAATTAAAAAAGAGTGGAGAGGTCACAACCAACAGCACAGAAATAACAATTATAAGAGAACATTATGAAAAACTATATACTAACAAATTGTACAACCTGGAAGAAATGGATAAATTTCTAGAAACATATACACTACCAAAACTTAAAAAGGAAGAAATAGAAGACTTGAACAGATCAATAACCAGCAAAGAAATTAAATCAGTTATAAAAAGTCTCCCAACAAACAAAAGTCCAGGGCCAGATAGTTTCCTAGGAGAAATCTACCAAACACTTAAAGAAGAGTTAATATCTATTCTTATTAAACTATTCTAAAAAATAGAAAAGGAAAGAAAACTTCTAAGAGTCTCATTCCAAGAGACTAGCATTACCCTGATTCCAAAACCAGACAAAGACTCCACTAAAAAAGACAACTATAGGCCAATATCCCTGATGAACATGGATGCAAAAATTCTCAATAAAATACTAGCAAACTGAATCCAACAGTGCATTAAAAGAATCATTCACCACAATCAAGTGGGATTTATTCCTAGGTTGCAAGGGTGGTTCAGTATTTGCAAATCAATCAACATGATGCACCACATTAATAAAAGAATGGATAAGAACCATATCCTTTCAATTGATGCAGAAAAAGCATTTGACAAAGTATTACATCCATTCATGATAAAAATTCTCAACAAAGTAGGGTTGGAGAGAATATACCTCAACATAATAAAGGCCACATAAACCCCACATCCTCAATGGGGGAAACAGAGGTTTTCCTCTAAGGTCAGAAATTAGACAGGGATGTCCACTCTCACCACTTTTTTTTCAACGTAGTACTGGAAGTCCCAGCCACAGCAATCAGACAACAAAAAGAAATAAAAGTCATCCAAATTGATAAGGAAGAAGTAAAAGTGTCACTATTTGCAGATGACATGATACTCTATATAGGAAGTTTGAAAGGCTCCAAAAAATTTTACTAGAACTGATACATGAATTCAGTAAAGTCACAGGATACAAAATCATCATACAGAAATCTGTTGCATTTCTATACACCAATAATGAAGCAGCAGAAAGAGAAATCAAGCAACCAATCCCATTTAAAATTGCACCAAAAACCATGAGATATGTAGGAATAAACTTAACCAAAAAGGTAAAAACATCTGTACTCTGAAAACTATAGAATGCTGATGAAAGAAATTGAAGAGGACACAAAGAAATGGAAAAACATCCCATGCTCATCAATTTGAAGAATACATATTGTTAAACTGTCTATACTACCCAAAGCAATCTACACATTTAATGCAATCCCCATCAAAATGCCACCAACATTTTTCACAGAGCTAAAACTAACAATCTTAAAATTTGTGTGGGACCACAAAAGACCCCGAATAGCCAAAGCAATCTTGAAAAAGCAAAGCAAAGCTGGAGGCATCACAATTCTGGACTTCAAGTTATAATACAAAACGGTAGTGATCAAGACAGCATAGTACTGGCACAAAAACAGACACAAAGGTCAATGGAACAGAATAGAAAATCCAGAAATGAACCCACAAGTATATGGCCAATTAATCTTTGGCAAAGCAGGAAAGAATATCCAATGGAAAAAAGACCGTCTCTTCAACAAATGGTGCTGGGAAAACTGGACAGCTGCATGCAAAAGAATGAAACTGGACCATTTTCATACACCATACACAAAAACAAATTCAAAATGAATTTTCCTTTTCATCTTGTGAAGAATGTCTAAATGGCTGTCAGAATGGCTAAAATTAACAACGAAAGAAACAACAGTTATTGTTAGGGATGTGGAGAAAGGGGACCCCTCTTAGATTATTGGTGGGAATGCAAACTGGTGCAGCCACTTGGAAAACAGTATGGAGGTTCTCAGAAAGTTAAGAATGGAACTACTCTATGATCCAATAATTGTACTCCTAGGTATTTACCCAAACGATATAAAAATACAGATTTGAAGGGATACATGCACCTCTGTGTTTATAGCCACATTATCAGCAATAGCCAAATTATGGAAAGATCCCAAATGTCTATCAACTGATGAATGGATAAAGAGGAGGTGGTATATATACACAATGGAATATTACTCAGTCATAAAAAAGAATAAAATCTTGCCATTTTTAATGACATGGATGGAGCTAGAGAGCGTTAAGTGAAAGAAGTTAGAGAAAGACAAATTCCATATGATTTCACTTATATGTGGAATTTAAGAAACAGAATGAACAAGGAAGGGGAAACAAAAGAGAGAGAGGCAATCTGAGAAACAGACTCTTAACCATAGAAAATGTGATGGTTACCAGAGGGGAGGTGGGTGGGCAGATGGGTTAAATAGGTGATGGCAATTACGGAGTGTACTTGTGATGAGGACCAGGTGTATGCAAGTGTTGCATCACTAAATTGCATACCTGAAACTAATATTACAGTGTATGTTAGTTAATTAGTTAGAATTTAAATATAAACTTAAAAAAAAAAACAGAAAAATTTTGATTTTAAGATTCCCTATATAAACAGCAGTCAATTGCCCAACTTCTATGCTAGTGTTAGAGAACTGCTGACTGGTTTAAGCAATAACTTAATGGTTTGGATGTATCTACTCCTTTCCAAGGGAATAGCTAAGTTCCATGAGAAACAAAATGGTCTGCAGTGTGGGTAGTCTGTCTTGGGTCCCTCCTGTATTTTGAAAAGGAGTGTCTAAAAATACTGAAACATTCCAGAGCCCACACAGTACTGTGTCTCTGCCTTTCTGGGTTCTTGACATTCCCTTATATGAATATATTTCTACTTAACCTTTTTTTTTTTTTAAGTAGTTACTGAATCCTAATCTTACATGTCCCTTAATTTTACATGCACATAGATGAATCAATACATGAATCAACTAGTTACCACATTGCCCCCTACGACATGAAGTAAACAGGAATGCTTAGTCTATTAATATACATGTTCTTTCTGCTAGAATAGGAATAGATGTCTTGAAAAGGAAAATAATCATGGGGTGCCTGGGTGGCTTGGTCAGTTAAGCGTCTGACTTCGGCTCAGGTCATGATCTCGCGGTCCGTGAGTTCGAGCCCTGCGTCGGGCTCTGTGCTGACAGCTCAGAGCCTGGAGCCTGTTTCAGATTCTGTGTCTCCCTCTCTCTCTGCTCCTCCCCTGTTCATGCTCTGTCTCTCTCTGTCTCAAAAATAAAATAAAAACGTTAAAAAAAATAAAAAAAAAAAAGGAAAATAATCAGCACAAACTTTGGCAAACTTTGTGAGTTTGAAATCTAAACATTATTGAGAAATTGATAAACCTTGCATATATTTTCTATATTATCCAATAAATAACATGTCATCAATATATAAAAATGTCTTGTGTTTTATAGATGCTTCGTCTTATTATTTAAATGTTTGTATATAGAACTTTTAAAACCAGTCATAAAACCATGTTACTTAGAGACGCAGTGTGTGGTATATTAAGCACCTGGTTAGGTGGAGTTCAAAAATATGTAGTCCCTCAGTGACATCAGGTTAATGTCTATCCCAGCATTCCTAGGGCCAGTTAGAAATTTTATATGAACCTCTTCTCATGTAGCCATCTGTTGCTGGAGTAATCCTTCCTGGGATCTTCATTGTCATACTGTTTTACGGTAGCTTTAAATTTTTTTTTTTAATGTTTGTTTATTTTTGAGAGAGAGAGACAGAGCAGGGGTGGGGCAGAGAGGGAGGGAGACACAGAATCTAGAGCAGGCTGTCAGCATACAGCCCAATGCAGGGCTTGAACTCATGAACCATGAGATCATGAGCTGAGCTGAAATTGGATGCTTAACTGAGCCACCCCGTCACCTGGTTTTTGGTAGCTTTAAATGAAGGTATTCGCCATATTTTATGCCTCACTTCACCACATTGTGCTATATACCAGTTCCAGGCTGTAGGTTAAGTATGCATCCTGACCCCCAAACTATTTCTATAGTCATGCAGAGATAGAATGCAAACGTTTTTAAATAACAAATCATACTGTGTTTTGGAAATAGAGGAATGAGATGTTCAGGATATGATCTGGTGTATGTATTGGTGGGAACATACAGTGTCTGTATCGTGAGAACAGTCAGTACTTCTTGACCTTTCATTGTGTGCAGTTACAGAAAGTAAAAGCCTTGAAATTTAAGGGTCTTCCAATTAAATGGCACATATATTATATATTGTCATTCCCTGAGAACCATAAACAGCCTCAGTGATAGAGAGGCATACTCATGCAAAGAGGAATGGAAGGAATGTCCAGAGTTGGTCTTAACAGAAATGTTTATAAAGGTTGTAGGGCACTTAAAGGAGGTATTCTCTGTAATTCTTCATGAAATCCCCTCACCAGGTCTGATTCTTGGTACTTTCTTTTTGTAGATATTTTCAGGGCTGTTGGTAAATCTCACAACCATCCAGCCTTGGCTATCATGGCTTCAGTACTTCAGCATTCCTCGATACGGCTTTGCGGTGAGTTTTCCTCATCTGTCTCTGTGATCCTAGCACAGGATTAATTCTAGGATTAGAATTCCCAAGTTAGGGACAACCAGAATAAAGCCTAACAACCTTGTCTCCCGCTGTGAACTGTGAAGGTCTCCAGGGGTTTCTTTTTTAGGAGCAATGAAGGAGAGTTTTCTATTAAGCCTTAGATCACCTTGATAATCACCTGAGGTTTCCCCAGTTACCCAGTTGTCTGAAGGAGGTGAAGGGTGGGGAGATAACTCCTCATGAGGGAGAAAGATTGACTAATTGGTATAAAGAAATATAGTTGTGTTTCAGTTCACTATGAAAATAGAGGATGGGGGGCCTAGAATACGTATTTTATATTGAATTCAGAAAAAAACAAACAAAAAACCCCAAAAACAAAGAGCATATAATACAGCCACTATCTTGGTTTTAGAAAGCTAATCAACTCCAAAGAAAACTGTCTTAATATAGTATAATTGGGTTTCTAACTCCCAAGAATTAGCACTGGTTTTGATGAAAATAAACAAGAATAATACAAAAGATTCTCACCATAAATGAACGATAGTCACTGAGTACTGCTGTATGATTTTGAGTACACTGTGGGATTATAAAATTGGGGAGAGAAGAAGGAAGGAGCCAGAGGTCTCCCCTCTTTGCCAACTACTTTACTTCCCTTTGTTTCGGAAGCTAAAATCTCAACCTTAGACTACTCAGTTGCCAAGGAAAAGAATTTTAGTTGCTCTGGTGTGGCAGAGACTGTGAACGTGAAGCTTGGTTTGTTTGTAGAAATAGCAATAAAGATTAAACTAGGAGGACATGATAATTCTTTGAAGTTTTTTGAAATTTAAAACTGTTTACCTTGCCCCATTCCCCTTATGTTATAGGCTTTGCAGCATAATGAATTTTTGGGACAAAACTTCTGCCCAGGACTCAACATAACAACAAATAATACCTGTAGTTATGCGACGTAAGTTCATATTCAGTGTCGTAGTGGATTTGTTTACTATTGTGGTGTATGTAGAAAGCCCACTGGGCCGCTTGGCTGGTGTAAGTCCTTTCACTGACTTCTCTGGGTTGTACACCAGTGCCCATCTCCTTGGCATTTGCTTCAGTGAAAATTGTACTTCAGATGGAGAAATGTTTCTGATACGTTCATTGGGGGCCTTTAAAAAAGATTCATTGGCTGTTTTGATTGTGAGTTTTAGTTTTGACTTTCTGAACACTTGAGTTTGAAATGAGCTGCTTTGATATTTTACCAAAGCCTTGGAATATTGGAATTGTATGGAGTGTGTGAAGTGTACGGATCCATAAATTTATGGCTTCCTGTAAGCCCAACCCAAGGCCAGGAGCAAGAGCTAAGAGGGCAGCAGAGGGGAGGATCATTGTCCTGCCGTGCTGTTGGCACTTGCCTCTTCCTCCTGCATTTACTAGGAGACATTGTGAAATCGAGGTCTACATGACTATCTTTTTTTCTTTTAAACTGACCCAGAACATCCTTTTTGAGGGATGTATCCTCCAAAGGAGGAAACACCTTTCAGTAAGCTGAGAAAGAAGTCCCATTTTTTTGCATAATGTCAAACAGAAATGCAGATTTTGATAAAATCAGAGGATGTTGTTTTAAAAATTGAATAACCCTTTTCTTGTCGATGATTGTTGTTAATGGTTTGATTCTGCTACATCGATCAATGAAAGAAAAGAGAATGCTGGTATCCAGAATCTCATGAACTATTCTCAAGTAGAATAGAAATAATTCTTAGTAATAGGGCAAATTGTTATTTTGAAGTATTTCTGAAAAACCTGTATGAAGAGAAGTTTTCTGCCCACTCTCTTTTGTCTGGGTATAACATTTTTGGAGGAGCTGCACACACATGGCGTACCAGGTAGTCAGTATGGCTGCACCAGGTAGTTTTAGGACCAGGCGCTTTTCTTTTTTTTTTTTTTTTTTTTTTTTAATTTTTTTTTTTCAACGTTTATTTATTTTTGGGACAGAGAGAGACAGAGCATGAACAGGGGAGGGGCAGAGAGAGAGGGAGACACAGAATCGGAAACAGGCTCCAGGCTCTGAGCCATCAGCCCAGAGCCTGATGCGGGGCTCGAACTCACGGACCGCAAGATCGTGACCTGGCTAAAGTCGGGCGCTTAACCGACTGCGCCACCCAGGCGCCCCAGGACCAGGCGCTTTTCTAAACTGTGGCAGGGCCGCTCCATCCTGCTCTAGCTCAGCCCCCACCGAGGCTTACACCTGATTAGGTGGGCCTGCTGGTGATGTCCTGCTGCTGAGTATCTGCAGTGCTCATTCCAGCCCTGCTGCGAGAGCAGTGGGGGCAGGAAGCCCTCGCTCACATCTTTTCCTAGCTTTAGAATTCTTAGCGTGTGTTTCTTTGTACATCTGGCTGGTGGGTAGTGAGCTCTGTAAAGAGCTTTGATCAACTTGGTAGGGGCCTTAGATGTCATCTGTTAAAACTGAGGTTTTCCCTGTCAGGAGTGAGAGCAGCATCAGAAATCTGAAAACAAATGAATTTGGAGAGATTAGCGACTGGGTTCAAAGTGTGAATCGGTGGACTTGGCCAAGTTCCTTAAACCTTAGTCTCTTCATCTTTTTAAATGGGTATAATATTTATTTCACTGGGTTGTTTCAGGGATTAACTAAACTGTTACATATGGACTGCTTAGCATAGTATCCAGCAGAATTGTAAGCCCTCATTGTTACCCATTATATATAAAGGCATAGTTCTTTAAGACTTGGAACCTATGGGAACTGTGAATACATTGAGAGTAAAACTTGACAGATAACTAAGGATAAAGTTATATTCTTTTTCTGTTGAATTTCAGATGTACTGGCGAAGAATTTTTGGTAAACCAGGGCATCGATATCTCCCCTTGGGGCCTGTGGAAGAATCACGTAGCCTTGGCATGCATGATTGTTATCTTCCTTATAATTGCCTACCTAAAATTGTTATTTCTTAAAAAATTTTCTTAAATTCTTCTTGAATTTACATGATTTATGTGCACATTAAATAGGGAGTGTCTTGATTTATTTTAAGCATTCAATGAAGTGTTTTTGTCATCTCTTCATTTGGCATCATACTGTTCAGCAAGAATTATTTTTCCAGAAACCGCAGCGAACTGATTTATACATGAAAGAACTCAAGTCATAAACTAGTGATATTATGGACTGTGTATTAGTTCATCTGGTCATACAGTAACCATGGGGAAGACATCTAGTTTATCAACCTAAAACAGAATTGAATACTGGGAACTTGTGACAAGTTATTAATATTTCTGGTATTAGTTTCCTCATCTTTAAAATGAATAGAGGGTTCATTGCCCTCCAGCTCCAGTATTAGATGAATCTGTGATTTGCCATTATTTAATAAATCATAATAACAAATGTACAGATGCAGTGGTGGAAGTACGAAATCTATGTTGGAAAAACCCAGTGTTATTTACAGGGCAAAAAAAACCCCACTGTAATAGAAAAAGCTTTGATGAGCCTTTTAAGATTATTAGAACATACTGAGATTTCTCTAGTGGAATCAGAGCACCTCAGGGGTCTCTGCTGGCCTTTGTAGGTGTGGCGGACTGGGAGTTGTGACCCTTGCTGGGGCAGTTCAGTGGCCTGTGATCAGCGCAAGGATCAGAGCCTCCTGGGGCACTTTGCTCAAATACAGATGGCCAGGCCCTGTGAGCCATGCATCAGCATCTCCAGGGTTACTCCAGAAAGCCCCACCCATGCCAGGACCTGGTCATTTCCAAGATCCTCTCTGCCTCTGAAAACTTAGTTATGATACACTACCTGTCATAACTGCCCCCGTATAGACTTTTTCATTCCTACATATACATCTCTTATTCATGGATCTTCTCTTTGTTCTAACCCTTATCAGTAATAGGGAACTATTTCTTAACTTCTTTTTTTTAGATATAATTTTTTTTAATGTTTATTTATTTTTGAGACAGAGCACGGGAGCAGGAGAGGGGCAGAGAGAGAGGGAGACACAGAATCTGAAGCAGGCTTCAGGCTCTGAGCTGTCAGCACAGAGTACGACATGGGGCTCAAACTCATGAGCTGTGAGATCATGACTTGAGCTGAAGTCGGACGCTTAACCTAGTGAGCCACCCAGGCGCCCCTTAACTTCTTTTTTATTGAAGGGTTAGGTGGGGAAAAGTATAGTCCAGTGAAGTATCAAAAAAGGAACATGCTGGTGGAACTACCAATCTAGGCAAAGAAACAGGATGTTAGCAGCACATGGATGCCCCCTGCGTGCCCCCTCCTGATCACTACTTCCTTCTCTCTGTGCTATTTCTGAAATGATGCTTGTATACTCCTCTTTGTTGCTGTTCTCATGTTTTGTGTTCCTGTGTGCATAGGTCCAGCCTTACTTAAGTCCTTTCCTCCCCCTTTTAATGAAGTATTAATTTTGGAATAATTTTAGATTTAACAGAAGAGTTGCAAAGATAGTATGGAAAAATTCCCAGATACACTTTACCCAACTTTCCTTACTAACATTTTATATATCATGGTACATGTCAGAAGAAGTTAACATTGGTACATTACTATTAAACTACACACTTTAATCAGATTACACTAACATGCTTAGTCATTCCAGGATCCACTTCAGGGGATCGGATTGCAATGAATCCTCCTTTTTATGAAAGTAAACATTTTTCAGAATTAAGTGAGGTTGAGGATCACCAGTGTGGACCCTTTGCAACTGGTCATCTTGGAGTATCACTTAGTGTCATTGGGTGCCCTGCCATATTGTCACAATATCAGTCCAGGGAGGGACATAACATTATATATATATATATATACATATATATATATTTCATAACATTGTATTTTTCAGAAACTTTTTTAAATGATGTTTCATTAATGCACTGTCTTGTAACATGTTGTCACACACTCTTTTTACCCTATTATGTGACCATTAGGGTTAATCAGTTTTTCCTGTTCTTGGTGTATAACTCTGGCTTCCTCATAGTTCTCTGTATACACTCTTCTCCCATTATACAGAAAGTAATATCTGTGCTTCACACACAAAATACACTTAACAGAAGAAACAAAACAGCCCAATATATTAACACTCACTTTTAAAATAAGAAAGAGGGTAGGGGCGCCTGGGTGGCTCAGTCGGTTGGGCAGCTGACTTCGGCTCAGGTCACGATCTCACACTCCGTGAGTTCGAGCCCCGCGTCGGGCTCTGTGCTGTCCGCTCAGAGCCTGGAGCCTGTTTCAGATTCCGTGTCTCCCTCTCTCTCTGACCCTCCCCCGTTCATGCTCTGTCTCTCTCTGTCTCAAAAATAAATAAGTGTTAAAAAAAAAATTTTTTTTTTTAAATAAGAAAGAGGGTCATGGTTCAGTGTCTGACATCAGCTCAGGTCATGATCTCGTGGTTATTGAGTTCGAGCCCCACATCCAGCTTGCTGCTGTCAGCCTGTCAGAGCAGAGCCCACATTGGATCTTCTGTCCCCCTCTGTCTGCCCCTCCCCCACTGGTATTCTGTCAAAAATAAACAAACATTTAAAAAATGAAATAAAAAAGAATTTAAATGTATCCTCTTATACCTATCATCCTTTTGTAGTGCAATTTTCTTATATCCTTTTTATATAATTCTGTTTTTAATTATTATGGTAAACGTATAACATAAAATTTGCCATCTTAACGGTTTTTAAATTAAGGACCATTTTTAAAAGTAACATAAGGGGCGCCTGGGTGGCGCAGTCGGTTAAGCGTCCGACTTCAGCCAGGTCACGATCTCACGGTCCGTGAGTTCGAGCCCCACGTCAGGCTCTGGGCTGATGGCTCAGAGCCTGGAGCCTGTTTCCGATTCTGTGTCTCCCTCTCTCTCTGCCCCTCCCCCGTTCATGCTCTGTCTCTCTCTGTCCCAAAAATAAATAAACGTTGAAAAAAAAAAAATTTAAAAGTAACATAAAAGCGTATATCCTATAAAGTATAAAAGAACATACTAATTTATAGAAATTTAGAAATCAGACTATGTCTATATCCTTTTGAATTTTGTTTTTATTTTCTTGGATGTCAGAAGAACTAATCTGTAATGGGAGAAGATATATTAATTTGGTTTAAAATAAAAGGAACCTGGGGCACCTGGGTAGCTCCGTTGATGGGGCATCTGACTTTGTCTCAGGTCATGATCTCGTGGTTCTTTGGTTCAAGCCCAAAGTTGGGCTCTGTGCTGACAGCTTGGAGCCTGGAGCCTGCTTCAGCTTCTGTGTCTCTTCTCTCTCTTCCCCTCCCCTGCTCACAGTCCGTCTCTCTCTGTCTCTCAAAAAATAAAATGTTAAAAATTTTAAAAAGAAAGGAAAAGAAATCTCAGGAATAAGTGAAAAGTGTTAGCTACTGTTTATACTCTTTCCATCGCTGTCGTGGGGCTTTTACCAAAGAGTGCAGGAAGACTCATTGTGGAAGGCTCCATGGTGTGTTAGGTGAGGCAGCAAGAAAGGAAAGGAAAATGGGTGGCTTGAAGAGAGTTGTTGAAGGGGCAGTGGACATACTCCTCTGTTTCTTCGTCTTGGAAGCCATTCTTCATGGTCTTTAGAGTTGAATTATATTAACCTCAACACCTCAATGTTTACATATATTTGAAAAGCAGCATTGCTCGTATTTATATGAAATCTTTAGGCCTCCCCAGTGCCTGCTCAGTGTGCCCCAGATCAGACTAGCAGAGCTGGGACAGATGCCATTCTTGGGTCCAAAAGCTTGGGCTCTCGCCAATGCTGATGTCCTGATGGCCACTCCTGATGCCTCAGCTGTTAAAATGTTGATGAGCCAGATTTCTAAGAAATTTGCTGGTAATTTTACTAAGATACTTTTCAAGATATTCTATTGAAACCCTGTTTCTGTATTACAGAACAAATATGTTGCCTCCTAATAATTTACTCTTCCATAAGAGATTTGGCTACCAGTTGAGATGAGGGAGGCCTCACTGGGTTTGTGGGAGAGTCTGTTTTGCATGTTTAGGAATTGGGACTTTATTTTTTTCAGTGTATGCAAGGGGCATTATGCTCTGAGGAATTAATTCACATGAGCCATCCTCAGAAGGGGATTGGTAAACCAGAGCACCAGTTTACTGATTTAAACAGTAAAATGTTACATAGCCATTTACCTGTGACATTCTTCTCTCAGGTGTGAAACTGAAATCAGAGGATTCTTTGGGCTTAGGATTTAAGGCTAATTTAGACAATGTCCACTACATCCATAGGAATTTGTGTGTCAAGCAAACCTGAATCATTGCAAGAGCTCATCCTCACCAAGTCCATGCAGGAGGTAATCCGTAACTGCCTCACCGTCCGAGGTTTGTGCTTATTCTCAGTGGAATAAAGATCCCAAAGAAAACCTGGAACCCCACCAAACATAGCTACTGTCTTGCTGTACCTGCTGGCCTTCTGTCTCTTGTTATACACATTAAAAAAAATGGTTGACTCACATGTTGCAGCCTACTTTCTGTCCCCATTGAACAATATGACTATAAGATACCTCTATTCTAAATTGGAGTAACTCTGTGACTGTGAGATTCCACATTTCTTTGTGGTTACCCAGGGTTTCCCAAGCTTGCCTGGTAAGAATCAATGGTCATCCGGATGCTTATGGAAGGAAGGAAAGAAAGAAAAAGGTATTTTTTCCCCATCTGTTGAGAAATCTCTGAGGAGTGAGCATAGGAATTCCAGGTGATTCTTTGGGATTACACTGATTTAGGATTGTAATAACCAGTTAAGGTCATTTAACCCTACATTCATTATAATTTGATCTTGATCTAATCGGTGTGGCAATTGCCTTTAAAGGCATATATTTTGTATTCACCTAAATACTGGACTCACATCTAGAACTAAGTGAGCTCATTAACATCACCTGATCTTCAAACTTTTTTTAAGCTGAGGAATCATTCTTGCACCTGGAAAATCCCCCAAGAACAGCACCTATGGGACTCTCATAAGTGACAGCTGGTGATGATTTGGCCGCCT